GTGATCCTTCTGCCTCGAGCTCCAGAGTAAGTGGGATCATAGGTGCATGCCACCACACATACCAACTTTACCTTGTTTTTAAGACTTCTTTGTCATGACTATTGCTATTAACAATGTTGATTAAAACATTACCTGCAATGTTTGATTAAAATATTATCAGCAAGGGCCGCAAGGGTTGGGGATTTAGCTCAGTGGCGCCGTGCCTACCTCACAAGCACAATGTCCTGAGTTCGATCCCTGGTACCAAAAAATAAACAAATAAATAGATAGATAAATAAATAAATAAATAAAACATTACAAGCTGGTGACAATGAGAGCCTTAACTGGGTCCTTAAAGGAACTGAAGTAACACAGGGGGTGGCTTTGGCTGGTTTACAACTATCACTAAATTCCTCGGACAATGTTGTGATAAAAAACAAAAGAACATTAGATTATTTATTGGCAGAGCAGAAAGGAACTTGTGCTTTTTTTCTTTTTTTTTAAATTTTGAGACAGGATCTTACTAAATTGCCCAGGTTGAGCTGAAACTTGTGAACCTCCTGCTTCAGCCTCCCAAAGTGCTAGGATTATAGGATTGTGCCACAAGGCCCAGTTGATTTGTGCCCTTCTAAACATCCGTTGTACTTGGGGAAACATCTCAGGACAAGTAAAAATTAACATTAAGGCTGGGATTTAACTCAGTGGTGCCACCGCCTGCCTCGAAAGCGCAAGGTCCTGAGTTTGATCCCCAGTACCAAAAAAAAAAATTAACATTATGGACTCATAACGAGGCCACATGGATCCATAAATATAAGCAAAGAGGCCCTGTAGATGGCCTGTAGCAAATGCTACCTAACCTCACCTGGCTTATTCCATTCCTGGGTCACTGATTATATAATTATAATTATACTTTTATTTTTTGGTACCTCCTTGTTTAATATGCCTATAAAATTGCCATTTCTGAACAAGCTGATGTTCACCAGTAGTTTGTCTTCTTTTTGTTTTTTGCTTTTTAAGACAGGGTCTCACTATGTACTTAGGCTGGTGTTGAATTCACTGTGTAGCCCAGGCTGTACTCAAACTCAAGGTGAGGCTCCTGCCTCAGCCTCCAGAGGTCTGGAATTACAGGTGTGCACTAGCACACCTAGCAATGGTGTGGTTTATATCTCGATGTCCCTCCAAAGCCTCATGTGCTTTAGGTGGGGTTTGGGGAGCCAACTGGATCATGGGTGTGTGATACTCATCAGTGGAGTAGTCCATGGATGAGTTTATAGCCTGGTATGATGTTGGAAGGTAAAGACTGTTGGAAGGAGGTGGTCAGTGGGGTGTGGCCTGGAAGGTCTGTCTCCCTCCCTCCTCCTTGGTCTCTCTACTTCCTGCTGCTATGCTATAAGCTGGTTATCCTCTGCCAGGCTCCTCTGCCATCCTGTCCTGCCTTTGAGCCAACTGACTGTGGACTACAACCTTTACAAACTGAGAGCCAAACTAAACCTCTCTTCCTTTAAATCATGGGTGTCAGGAATTGCGTCTGAGCAACAAGAAAGTAACTAAGACAATAAGTGTCCTGTCCTCTTGCCTTGACAAATATGTGTTGGCAGTTTGGAAGGACTGGCCTCTCCCTATAGCCTTGTTCTGTTCCCCATCCAAGGGACCTCATGTTTGGTCCAAGGTGCACACATGTGAGCACCCAGGCTGCAGGGTCAAGTTCTACCCATGCCTCCCCTTCCACTGCTCAGGCCCAGTATTTGCAAGCCTCAGTGAGGGCCCAACCTGGGGAACATGCCTAGGCAAGAGGACATCTCCAACCCTAAGCAGGGCTATCATTTACAGGATGCACCTCTAGGGGGACCTGTCCCCTAGCTTCACCTTCAGGAGGGCCAGAGCAGCCCTCTAGGACCTGGAGCCAGGGCAAGAACATCTCTCGCTAGGTTTTAGCCTTACTAGGCATTGAAAACCCCAGACTTTGAATCCCGGTGACAACAGATCCAGTGTACAGAACCCTGACCCAGCAGTGACTCAGTTCCCCAGTGAATATGGACACCACCTTCCCTGCCTTCTGCTCCTCCCTACTCAACCCACACACTCCTTGAGACAGTTAGGGGCCACCGCAGTGGGATGATAATGAGACATAGGGTTGGACGACAAATTCCTAGCTGCAATAAACTATTACCTTTTGCAGTGTGGTATATTCCCATAGACCTGGTAAGAGACTTTCACAAAACCCCAGGAGCAGAAGATTTACAGGAAGTAAGCAACAGCCTTGGTGGAATTGACCCTCAGCTTGACTCCTGAGAGCCCTCAACAGGAGGGACAACACAGAGCTCCTACCCTGGGGGAAAAGGGGAGAGTTGGGGCCGGGGATTTAGCTCAGTGGTGCTGCTGCCTGCCTTGGAAGAGCAAGGTCCTGAGTTCAATCCCCGGTACAAAAGAAAGGGGGGGGTATGTATTTGTGTATTAGTCCTTGGCCAAAGGGACCAGGGATGCAAAATCCTTGGAGGAAGTGGCTCCTGCTGGCTGAGGGCAAGTGGCCAGAAAAGTTCTTTCCAATAACACCCACAACCCAGGGAGATCAACTATGGATGCTTTCAGCTCAGATCCATATTCGGGGGTCCATTTGGCTTAGCATGGGCCACATGCCCACACTTTAGTGCCTGAATAAAGCTCCTGCCAGCCATGCTGGCACATGCCTGTGATCTCAGCACTGGAGAGGCTGAGGCAGGAGGTCACAAGTTCAAGTTCCATCTAAGCAATTTAATAAGATCTTGTCCCAAAATTTAAAATAAAATAAAAATAAACAAATAATAAATAAATTAAAAGGGCTGGGGATGTAGCCCAGTGCAAAGGCCCTAGGTACAATCCCTACCTAGTACTTCCCAAAAAAGGTGAATGTTCCTAGCCAGGCATGGTTTTTTGTACCTATAGTTCCAGCTACTCTGGAGGCTAAAGGAGGAAGATTACTTGAATCCACAAGTTTGAGACTAGCCTGGGGAATATTTCAAGCAAAAAAAAAAAAAAAAAATGAGTCGAAGGGGAATGTTCCAGAAAACAAAGCTGAAGTGCTAGAGCAGCTTACAACAACTGCAGAAATCACACAGGGCTAATCCTCTCAGCTGAGCCAGCACCAAGCTACACCAGGTCAAGAGAGGATGAGTCCACCAGGTCAAGAGAGGATGAGTCCACCAGGTCAGGGACAAGCTGTTATTTCCAGTTATCACAGGGGCCTGAGGTCCAGAGGAGAGAAGAAGGGGTCCTGGCACAGACCTCCCCACAGCATGTTAAAAGGGGTGAGCAGCAGCAGAGGAGTATTAGAGGCAGCCAAGAGAGGACCTAAGCTGAGGTCTCCTCAGCCCTGCAGGGCTTAGCCTGAGCCGTGCAGATGTGGCCAGGACACTTCAGCCTGCCCCTGGGCACATGGTAGAGGAAATAGAGTTTGAGCTGCTTAGGATCATTTCCATCATCTTATTAGCGAGGTCACCTCCCAAGACCACTCCATGCATAAGTGCGTGCCCCAGCATTTCATCACCCCTGTTGCTCATGCTACCCTTTGCCTAGAGGGTCCCAGGGGCCAGCACTTCCCCAGTCTGAGCTCATCCTGTGAGTGGCAGGGGGAAGGCAGGTGAAACGGACATCTCTGGAGGCTCTGGCTTCTGAGACAGGCTAATTACAGGCTTCCTCATTAGCGAGCCATGGGGTTGCATTTCATCAGCTGAGTCAGAGGTGTTGTCTGGGCCCAGGGCCCAAGGGTAGAGGACCAAGAGCCAGGGAGGGACCCTGGATGGGGCACACTGGCCTGGGCCTCTCTCCTGCACCTTGATTCTCTGCCCTTCCGTTTTCTTTTTTGGGATGTTGGGGAACAAACCCAGAACCTCACACATGCCAAGCAAGTGCTCTACCATTGAGCTACATTCTGAATCCTTTTTATTTTATTTTAAGAAAAGGTCTTGCTATGTGCCTGAGCTGGCCTTGAATTTGGAATCCTCCTGCTTCAGCCTCACAGGTATATGCAGCCACACCCAGGTCTGTTCCTCCCATTTTCAAGCCCAATCCTCTCCACCAGTTGAGAGGGGTTTCAGTGGTCCCAGCCACCCTTCCAATACTTGATGTCTTCCTGGGACTGTCCCTTGTGCCTTCCCACTCTGCCTGGATCACTCTGAGCATATTTGGTACTGACCCCCACACAGCTTCCCAATCTCCCAGTTTGCTTCAGACTTGATCTCCTTCAGTCACATGCATCACACACCTCGCAGGATCCTGTTCCCTGCACTCCCCCGGCCCCTGCAGCAGAAAGGCCTTCCCTTTCTCTTCCAGAAGCTGCACCTGAGGGCTACTTTCCTGTTCTAATTGATCAAGGAGCCAGGAGCTGCACCCTCCTGCGAAGGCAGCTCTGAGAGCCTTTATTTAGAGAAGTGTCTGCTTTTTGTGCCAAGGTATAATAATAGTGAGTTTTCCAAGGCCACTTGGTCATGAGGTTGGTGCTCCACTCAGAGACTGCTGTGCTTCCCATTCTGTGTGGTGGATCTGGACTCAAGTGAAAAGGTTCCCCAGGTTCTTTGGCCAGTGGGCTCAACTACAGAATGCAGCCAGTCACATCAGCTCCTCACTTAATGAGTTTCAGTTTCCTTCTAACCCCAGTTATGTGGATTGTGCTCAACATGTAGGAACTTTTCCTCTCATTCTCCTTCTCTTCTCCTTCTGTTTTTAGTTTTTGTTGTTGTTGAGGTACTGGGAATTGAATCCAGATCTTCATGCATGGTTAAGCAAGCACTCTGACACTGAGCTACACCCCAGTCCCTTTTTAAAAGTTTGAATGCAGGGCTGGGGATTTAGCTCAGTGGTTTCGCCACCTGCTGCGCAAGCACAATGACCCAAGACTGATCCCCGGTACCAAAAAAAAAAAAAAAGTTTGAATGCAAACTTTATTTTTTGAGATGGGGTCTTGCTATAGTAGTTCAGGCTGGCCTTGAACTCACAGCAATCCTCCTGCTTCAGCCAAGTGCTAGGATTACACTACCACACCCAGCTTTTAAATGCAAGCATTTTTAATATGCTTGGCCTTCCAGGTCTCCATGACCTCCTGGATAACACATGAAAATCACATATGTGTAAGTCATTTGTTCTTGGGTCCACAGGCTGGATACAGCTGGCCCCTCCGTGCAGGCTGATGGCTCCTGGGTCCTACAAGGACCAGCCCTGGCAGCCCAACCTACTTGCTGGTAGGGCAGGAATTCTTTCTTTTTTTTTCTTTTCTTTTTTCTTTAAAGACAAGGTCTCTGCCTGTTTGTCTGTTCCTTGGGTTTGGCTTCAAATTTCTGGTCTCAAGTGATCCTCCTTCCTTAGCCCCCCAGGGGCTACAGGTGTGTCACCACACCCAGAGGCAGGAATTCTTTACACATCTTTCCAGAGGATGCTTGGACTGGAATCCTAGAAGTTGGGTAGTGAACCAAAGGATACATGTACATTAGAGACCTGACTAGATACTGTCACATGCCCTACCACAGAGGTTGTACCCTTTGTGTCCCCCCAGCAGAGTATGACAGGAGCTGTTAACACAGCCTCACCAATGGGCTATGGCCAAACATTGGGATTTTTGATAATCTGCTAAGCAAGAAATTGTATTTTGGGGTTCTTTTTTATTTCACTATATCATGACCAAAGTTAAGCATTTTTTACATCTTTGAAACCCATTTATGGCCAGGCACAGTGGTGCAGACCTGTAATATCAGTTATTCTAGAGGCTAAGGCAGGAGGATCATAAGTTCAAAGCCAGCCAGAGTAATTTAGTAAGATGGTCTCAAAATAAAATTTTATTTTATTTATTTTTTTTAGTTCTAGGGATTGAACTCGGGACCTTGTGCTTGCGAGGCAGGTGGCTGCACCACTGAGCTAAATACCCGGCCCTCAAAATAAAATTTTTAAAAAGAGCTGTGTAGCTCAGTCTGAAGTACTGCAAAAAAGCCATCTGTATTTCTTTATAAATGCCTTATTTTTATAAGATATATGTTATGGACATTAACTATTGTAATACAAATTGAAAATTATTTTCCCAGTTTTATGTTTATATTTTAATGGAAAATTTGTTGATCTTTCCCCTTACTGTAGCCACCACCCACCTTGTTGGGGATTGAACCCAAGACCTTTAGAGAGCTATATCCCCAAGTATTTAAAAAATTTTTTTGAGACAAGGTTGTGTCAAGTCACCAAACTGCCCAAGCTGGGCTCAGACTTATGATCCTCCTGCCTCAGCTTCCCAGAATGCAGTGATTACAAGAGTGCCATGCCTGGATATTTTCCTCTACTTCTTACTCAGTTTCTTGTTCCTAGTGACTCCAGCACTGCTTGCTGAAAGGCCCATTTATACTGTTAATTTGTGATGCCACCTTTTATAATACACTAAGTTTCCATATGTACTTAGGCCTAGTTTTGGGTTTTTACAGTAGTGAAACAACTACTTAGGCTCTGTCTTGGGTTATTTCTACCCATCTGCAAACAAGCTGTTTTTTGTCCCCCACCCCCACCCCTACCCCAAGATGCCTAGCATGTGAGGCCCTGGATTTGATCCCCAGCACAGCAAAAACAAAGTCCCCAAAACAACAACAAAAGCTTCTTTTTTTCCTTATAGAAGAGTGTTGCAAAGGAAAACACCAAATGTTTGAGAAGTTGTGTCGTGATCGTGTGGATACAGGTGTTGTCATTGATAGAGAAGTGCTACACAATAAGACAGGCCCTTGCCTCGCCTCCATTTGTTTTCCACAGAATGTTTTCTTTGGACATGTAAGTTTGTGCTGCTGGGCTCCTGCCCAATGTATCAAAATGGTTTGTGGCTGTTTGAACTGTGTGACCTTTCAGGAATGTTCTGTTAAACTCTGCCCCCTCACAAGAAGGTTCTGTTAAGCTCCGCTCCCTCTCAGTAATGTTCTGTAACTCCGCCCCTTTGCTTCAGGAATGTTCTGTAACTCTTCCTCCTGCTTCATTGAGCATGCTGGCCTACCCTGTATATCCCTATATAAGGAGGCTCTCATTTCTGGTAGAGCACTCAAGACTCCTCTGAGCCCACCAGGATTTGCTGGTGTAATAAAGGTTTTTATCTCCACCTCTTCAACTGACCATCAGATTCTTGAGTCTTCAAATTATGAGAGCTGTGACGCAGAGCTGCCACACTGAGCTGTAAAGTTCAGCTGTGCCTCAGAGCTGTAACACTTGGCTATAGCACTGAACTATTCTGCTCCGCCCAAACATCATCTTGTTATTGGTTCAAACTTCATGGAAAGAAAACTTACCCACCACCCCAAGGCTTTGTTCCTCCTTCATCTTCTTATCTCTGCGCCAGTGGGAAACTGTGTCATCCTTTGGGTCATCAAGAGTGGCAGGGTCACTCTTGGCAGCTCTTGGTATGGAAGGGAGTGTAGGTCAGGGGGTGCCACCCAAGGCAGTGCCTGGTGCAGGGGGAATGAGGTTCAAGCTCATCTACCTCACCCCCAAGAAAAACCCCACACACTATGCTGCTCTTTCCAAGTAGAGCCTTCTCTCCTGTCCCATGGACAGGTTCATAGTGGTAAAGGGCTCCCAGGGACAGTCTCACCAAGTTCCTATTTGATCTAGCACTGGCCAGTGGAACTTCCTGTGGTGGAACTGGTCATTGTCTGCGTAGTCCAATACACACCCACATGTGACTACTGTAGAAATGTGGCTGGCAGGACTAGGAACTGAGTCTTACATTATATTTGCTTTTAAGTCAAGAACCACATGTGGCTAGAAGCCACTACACTGGACAGCACAGCTTTGGCCAATTCCCAGCCTAGACCCTCCCCTGCCCAGAATGGAGGGAAGATGCTGGCTGGGAGACTGGGCCAGGTAACAGCAGGCCTAGGGAGGGAGCTGGTTCATGATGCCCATGAGAGTTCTGCGTGAGGGGCCCTGCCCGAAGCAGCCCCACCCCCACCCAGCGGCCATCATAATGGCAGTCAGGCCAGCATCACAATGCCACCAGAGGAGGCTGAGCAACAGGGGCAGGTCTCTTTGTCTACAGACCTACTTCCAGCATTTCCTGGGGAATGGAAAGGTGCCTAGCAGCTGAGTGGCCTCAAGCTGGAGACCTACCTGAGGAAGCAGAACAGGTGTAGGGCAAGAGGAGCCTACTCAGCCCCAGCACCCAGGGGCTATAGGACACAGCTACTCAGCTGAAGGCAGACGGGATTCTCCGTGAGCACTGAGCAGCTATTCCTCTTCTTTCTGGCCATTTGTTTCTTGTACTTCTACCTTTGGGGCTAATTTTGACAGAGCCAGCCTTCTGCCAGCTCACGGGCTGCAGGGGCAACTGCAAGCAGCGATGGCACCTGGCATCGCCCAGCCTCTGCAAGTGAGGAGAGGGAGCAGCCAAGGGCTGGAGACTTTGGGCCCACACGGTAGCCTGCCATGCCTCACCTGTGTACCTCAGGGATGGAGATCTGGAGACAAAGCCGCCCAGGAACCCAGCCTCATGAAGCTGCCCTACATCCTGCCTGCAGAGGGGCCCCCACCAGCCTTGAGCTCTGTGCTTCATGCCCCACTGAGTCAAAGACACCAGAAGACACAAGCCCCCTGCAGTCAGAGGGGCGGGGGTGCAAAGCAAGGCCATGAGGCCCTGAGTCTTCTCGATCAGTGGAGTTGAACTCTTTGTATTTACTGGAAAGCTGCTTTGTGCTTGGCCCCAGGCTCTGGTGAAAAATAAATTGCCTCAGGGCCAGATAGTAGCAAGAGAAATTTTATTCCCATTTTCTGGAAGGCAGAAATGGAGCCCAGTGGTGCTCAGAATGTTTATGGCAAAAAGTGGTTAAAAGAGCACTTCCTTTTAGGGGAATCTGTAAAATAAGGAAAAAATGGATGCATCTGCAAGGGTTTTGGGGGTGGTTCCACCTGGACCAGGGCAGGTCCTGCCCATCCAGTGGTTACTGTGCCTGGTTTTCCACCAGCTGGCTAGGAAGCAGAAACCCATCACAAATGCAGATCCCCAGACTCTGCAGCAGCTCCAAGCACCTGTGCCAGAAGGGAGGTGGCTTTGCCCTCATTTGGGCATTCTGGGCTGATGCTGACCCCACACTGGTGGCTTCCAGGGGAGGGCAGACAGGACATTGCTGAGAGAGAGGCTCTCAAGCACTGAGAGCATTGAGGACTGAGCTGCAGGGGTAGGGGAACAGGCTGAGGTGCAGTAGTGTGTCCTGGGGCTTTCCAGGAACACAGGAGAGGGACAGTAGCCCCCGCCCGGGAACAGAGCTGGAAGCCCATGGGCCTGCTGGGGTATGCAGTCCCCAAGGGTTCACATGAGGGCTGCATCCAGGTGCCAAGTGTCAGGGTTCTCCTGACAAATGCACATTCCCTGAACACAACTGCAGACCTCTAAATCCTGCCCCTAGCCCTGGGTGGCCTGAGGGGACAAGAAATGGGCTGCCCACAAGGCTTGCCATTAACCTCAGGGTTAAGCAGGAGCACGTCAGGCTGAGTCTCCCCAGTGTGCTCGGAAGTGCACAGAATAGCGTGGTGTATTTCCTCACTGAATCTTCAGGTGACTAGAATCTATTTGATATGGTAAGCAAAGCTGTAGGAATACATATCCTTTGGGACTCCATAAAGCTAGATTGTGAATAGAAAAAAAAACAAAGACAGCCTATAAACACAAATTTTTTCCTGAAATGGGCCACATGCTGCACAGGTGTTTTCTCCATGACAGCGCTGCACTGGTACCTTGCAGATGGAGGCTACACAGCCCCCACGGTGATGCCTACTGCAAACCCTGACCTGGGGCCCTCACAACACAGGGCAGACTGAACACGCCATCTAGCTTTTGTCCTTTCATGGGTGCCCCGTGACAGTCACTTAATGGACAAATGGGGACAGGAGTATGATGACACAGGTGCTCCCCAAGGAGGACGTCAACCATCACTTTATTAAGGCCACAGGTGTTGCCAGCTGGGGGCAGGGGCTGAGTCATGCACCCCAAGCCCCGTGTGGTTTACTTCTGGGTGACCCTGAGCAGTTCACTGTGCCCCACTCTGCAGGCTTTGCTGGGAGGGGGTGTGCAGACAATGTGGGATGCCTTCAGGAGGGGTGCCCACCCTGGGCAGGTGTTGGCAGGGGCATGGCAGGGAGGTACAGGAGAGCAGGGATATCTCCCCAACCCTCCCTACCCAGTCTATGGCTTTATCTTGTGGCCACCTGAATAGAAGTAAGCCTGCCCCCCACCCCTGTGCTGCACTGTGAGGTGACAAAGCCCAGAAAGAGAACAGGCAGCTCTGTGCCTGTCTCTGGCCAAACCGCAGAGGTGCTGTGACCCCAATCCTGCTCCCCACTGGCTCCTTCCAGTGATGGCTGTCTCCAGCTGAGGCTGGTCAGTCAGAAGTGCACCCGCAGCACATCCTGGCTGGTGAAGGGCTGCTGGCAGGCTGTGCAGGTCATGGGCAGGGAGTGCTGCTTCTCACCCAGGCAAGGGCGGCACAGGAGGTGGCCACAGGGCAGCTGGTACATGGGCTCCTTTTTGAAGTAGGAAGAAAACACTCTTTTGCAGGAGGTGCACTCGGGGCCTGGGTGGCAGCCAGGCTGCCCTGGTAAATCAGAAGAACAGGCGAGGATTAGGGAGGGAGCTCCAGGATTCCTCTGTATGAGAGGCTGGTCAGCCTGGCTTCTCTATCCCTTGCCTACTCCAGCTACTCATGAAGGAGAGGGGCAGGGCACCAGGGGTACCTGGCAACGCTCTCTGCCTCCTCTGAACAACTCTTGGTGCTCTCTCGACTGCTCAAAAGCAGCTGGTGTCTGAACCCTTCCTCCTGGTCTCCTAGCAAGGTATACTTCCCCTGCCAAAGCAATGGAAAGGCACAAACTCATCCTGACTAAAGTGCAAGAAAGGTGAGATGGGACAAGGAAAAGGAACCAAGAAAGTGGCCCCGGATACCAAAGTCAGGGAGTCAGGTGGATGCAGGCCACCAGGGGGGCCAATTGAGGTCTGTCTGCATCCCTCTTCTGACCTCACTGTCCCCCCTCCCCTGCTGCCCTTGGCTCTTTCACCTGACTCCCTTGGGCAGGCTCCTTTCACCTGACTCACTTGGGCTTCAGCCACCGGTACCCTGCCCCACACTGCACTCCTGGCTCTTCCTTCCCTGCAGCCTTTGCCTGAGAAAGCTGCTCCCACACACAAATGCTCTGAAGGGGTGAGTGCTATACTTGCTTGTCCTCCTTGTGGCCACTTCTCTATTCCTAGCCACCACTCCCTGGAGAACCCCAGAGGTACCTCAAACCAATTTGCCTTGGAAATTTTTCTTGATCCCAGCCCCTCTCTCCATTCATGTTTGTCCCATAATCCAGGCCACCTGTGCACCTTTCTCCTGGCTCTCTCTCCTCTGGTCTCCTCACCATCTCTTCTTGAAGCTGCCCCCACTGCTGCATGGGTAAAACCTGACCTACACTTCAGCCACTTTCTGGTACAGTCAAAAAGTGCTTGGGCCGGAGATTTAGCTCAGTGGTTCCACCACCTACCTCGAAAGCACAAGACCCCGAGTTTGATCCCCAGCACCAAAAAAAAAGCGCTTGCCTGGCCTGTCCAGCCTCCCCTTCACCCTCAGTACTGTCCTGCAGGGCCCAAAAATATCAAGTCAGTCCTTCCTGACACACTCTGCTGCTGTTGGCCTGATGTTCCTTCTGCAGAGAAGGTCCTCTGCAGGACATTGAGAGAGAGAGAGACAGAGAGAGAGAGAGAGAGGGAGAGACAGAGACAGAGAGAAAGGAAGGAAGGAAGGAAGGAAGGAAGGAAGGAAGGAAGGAAGGAAGGAAGGAAGGAAGGGACAGCAGACAACAAAAAGGATAGGCTTTGTGGGAATGAGTGAAAATGTGGCTTCAAGTGACACTGAGGGTGGGGAGACAAGCCCTCCAGCAAGCGGGCTCCAGAGGCAGCAGGAGGTTAGCGTGTAAGTTCAGGGGCTGCCAGGGAAGGACCCTAAGAAGGGCAGCTCTATGACCCTGTTCACATTTTAAGAGCACTTTGACTCCTGTGTGGGAAGCAAAGGGACCATAGGGACCAACAGGGCTACTGCAGAGGCTGTGGGAGAGGAACAGGAGCTGGTGCCAAAATGGAGCCCTGGGACACAGAGGAGAGAGGACTCAGTGGAGATCCATACTGGAGGAGGACTAACGCCCTTGATAATGAATGGAATGCAGTGGAGCACACTAAGGACAGCGGGATGACAACTTCTATGTTAAAGGCCAGACCTGGATGGAAGACACTGCTCTTTGCCCAGATGGGCTGATGGGGGCAGGGAAGGGGAGCCTCGGAGCAGGAGTTGGCCTTTGGTCAAGAAACTAGGAAAAGAGGCCGCCAAGAAGCAGTGAGGGAGGCCAGGGTCTGAATGCCAAGGAAAGGCAGGAGCCGCAAAAGCAGCACTTTAAGTGACTCTCACTAGGGTGACAAAAAGAGGGTCCAGGGCCAGACTGGCAGAGAAGGAAGCTGGCAATGGAAACTGAAGTGAGAACACTGAAGACAGGAAGAAAAGGCCATGAGAGCAAATGACTTGGAATGGAGGCTGGTCAGCACATCTCAGGATGCCGAGAGGGCAGCAGTCACTGCATCTGGGGTCACTCTGGTAACACAGGGTCTTGGGAATGGTCAAGGTGGAAACAATCAGAGTAGGCAGGAGTGAGACAGGGAGGTGGCCTGGAATCCAGATGACAAGAGAAGGGACAGGCTTTGTGTAGGCAGGGGGAATCAGGTATCTGCCATATCATCACCCCCACTGGGTGTCACCTGGTAAAAAGTGCCCAGCATTCCAATCGGCTCCTCTCACTTTGTATCCCAATACACTCTACCATATAATGTGGGCTCAGGTTCATTTAAGGCAAAAACTGCCCTAGTAGGCCACCACTAGGACACTGATGAAAATATTAGGAAAGGGTGAAGATGACATCCTGAATTCTGAACTTCCCTTTGCATGTACATAAAACTGTATAACAGGGGCCAGGGATTTAGCTCAGTGGTTCCAGCGTCTGCCTCGCAAGCGCAAGGTCCTGAGTTCGATCCCTGATACCAAAAAAAACCCCCGTATAACAGATATTGAGAAATGGGAAGAAAATGTTCAAAGGGGAACAAGGGAAGAGGGAGAGAGAAAGGAAGTAAAGTGCAAGAAAAAAAATAGAAGGAAAAAAAATGGAAACAAAGCTTTTGCATATAGGGAGGGGAGGGGGTATAAGGGGAGGGGAGGAATGGGAAAAAAGAGGTGGGATATACCATGTACAGGTGCAAATTCCCTGATGGGTATTATCATTATGTATGCCTAAAATGTACCAATAAATGTTTTGCTATAAAAATAAAAAATAGAATGACTAACATAAAGTTCCCCAGCTGTGATGTGGGATATAGGTGAGATTAGGAAAATAAACAAAAAAGGAGAAGCAAAAGTCATCAGGAGAGAATAATTAACATTGGATGTTACAAAAACAATACAGCAGAGGGTAGCTAGGCCCCGGGTCCACAGCATGAGTAAGGGTGACCAAGGAAGGCCCTCCCCATGTGGTTCACTTCCAGGCAGCCTGCACCTCTGTGGAGAAGGCAGAGGTCTCTCCCCAGGAAAGGGGTTGGCACTGAGGAGGGAGCTGGTCCACAGGGAGAAGGTCCAGCATCCTGCACAGAGATAGACCACCATTCTATGCTCTAAGGAAACAATGGGCCTGGGTTACCTGAGCTGGCGCCTGGCCTCCCCGAAGTGCTGCTTCCTCTTGTGCCCAGGTGCTGGAGCTGTCCCCTATTCAGCCGGGGTGTGAAGGAAGGCATAGAGCCAAGGGTGGTCATCAAGGCCATTTCCAAGCTTTGTGACAGCTTTTGCTCATGGGACACTGATTCTGTTGAGAGATGCACAGACCATAACATCCAGAGAGAGGCTGGGCAAAAGAAAAGCATACTGAATATATACTATGCTATAAAACAGCACTTCAAACTTCAGAGACATGTGAAAGTAGACAGAACACCGCCCCAGGGAAGCCTGATAGTCACCATGCCTTCAAGGCCGGGCCTGCTCAACCCTTTCTAGACAAAGCATGGGGCAGACAGGGGCCACCTTGTGGCTCCACTGCAGAACTGGACCCACCTCCCCAAAGGCATTTCTAGGGCTGTCAAAGAAACTACCAACAAGCAAAGGCCAGCCTAGCCCCTGCCCCTGGCCCTTTTCCCTCCCCAGCAGCCTCAGTCCTTTCTGTCCTGGCTCGTCTCACTGGGGCCCCTACACCCTGCAGGGCTGCTGCATGGACTGTCTGGGTGAGTGTCTCTCTCTCCTGGCAGATACAAAACCTCAGTCTCTCTGGCCAGGCCATCACACAGCTGAATGGTCAGCAGAAAACCTGCTGTAGGATAAGAGTGGAGGCAAAAGAGAAGGGAGATAGCTGCTCAAGTAAGATCCCAGGACCTGCCCAGTGGCAGAATTTGCAAGACTGCCACAAACAGGAAAGTGGAATGATTCATCTACCGTTGTAAGATACAGAGACCTCCATAGACAGACAAGGTTAAAGGACCTTTCTCCTTGTTTCATTCACTGCATCTCAGATGCTTCCAGAAGCTTCTGGGATCATGTTAACTAAAATGTACTCTCCAAACTAAGGACACAGATGTAACCATTAAGCATACCATTTGTATAACCTATTACAGAAAAACAGGAAATTAAAAGACTGATAAAATCTACGCAGAGTAGTTTTCATAAGGAAAAAAAAAGCTGTCAAAGAGATGTCTTCCAAAAGTACCAGGCCCTAACAATAACCAAGGAGGTCTACCTAATATGTATAGAGTATATTACTCTATTAAATTGTTCTAGAGTACAGAAAAGGAAAATTTTCAAATTCTTTTTATGAAGAAAAAAGAAATTCACTGAGACAAAGCCTGACCCAAGATGTCCTGTTCCACCAAAAGACAAATAATAAAGTGTGAAAATGTATTTTCAGCTGACATCAAAGTCAAAGGGCTAGCCAGACACAGCGGGGCACACTTGTAATTCCAGCTACTTGGGAGGCTGAGGCAGGAGGATCACAAATTTGAGAACAGCTTGGGCAACTTAGTGCGACTCTGCTTCAAAACAGAAAAATATGCCTCGCAAGCGCAAGGACCTGAGTTCGATCCCCAGTACCAAAAAAAACCAAAACAGAAAAATAAACCATAAAGAAGGATAAACTTGTGTCATGTGCAGGAAAATGGATGCACTTTGAGACCACAATGTTAAGTGAAATAAATCAGATGCACAAATTTAAATGTCACACAGTTTATCTTATATGAGAAACTTGAAGTATAAATAAACAGCAGGACCGGGGATTTAGCTCAGTAGTTCCGGCGCCTGCCTCACAAGCACAAGGTCCTGAGTTCAATTCCCAGTTCCAAAAAAATAAAATAAAATAAATAAATAAAGAGTAAAATGAAAGATAGATGATAGAAAAAAAAAAATAGAAAAAAAACTGCCAGGGATGTAGCTCAGTGGTAGAGTGCCCCTGAGTTCAGTCCTCAGCCTTAGGAGTTTTAAGGGATAGTCAAAGGGCTCTTAGAAATGACTTTTTAAAAGATCAACAACTAACAGGAGCAAAGAAAATGGGACATATCATAGAAAAGAAAACAAATAGTTTTTTTATCATCTGAGAACTGCTCACACTCACTATAAGAGCTATGAACACTAAAGCAATATAAGATACCTTTTTTTTTGTACTGGGGATCGAATTCGGGACCTCTCACTTGCAAGGCAGGTGGTGGAACCACTGAGCTAAATCCCCAACCCTAAGATACCATTTTTTACCTATCACATGATAGTCTGAGAATATACTGTGTCAGTGTGGTTGAGAAATCTCACACACTGCTGGTGGGTCAGCTGAAAGGGCAACTCAACAATGTCTATCAAATTCATAGCAGGTAGCTTTTGACCCAGAATCCCCTTCTGTGAGCTTCTAGAGCTCTTTGCACAGATGCAAAATTATATACGACAAGGCTGATTCTGTGCAGCACTATTTTTTTTTTTTTTTTTTTTTTTT